AGAGTCAAGAAAATAGCATATAATCTTTGCATTTGCACACATAAATGTCAGAAGCATATTTTCTAGGAGAGGATTAAAAAAAAAAGTCCTTTGGTTGTAAGTCCTATGGACCCCACCAACCTGCAGTCTGAGACCCAGAAACAGAAAAAAAAAAAAAAAAAAAAAAAGAGAAGAAAACATTTCGAACCTTAGTTGAAGTTTCTGCCAGAGGTCCAGTCAGGGGAGAAGAATTATCTAAGGGGGAAGGGGAAGGTGCTGGCTATTTAAAGTGTGGTTCCACAACGCCTCTGTGGCACTTGTAATTCTAAACTTGGCCCAACCCACATTCCACCCTTGTGCCTCCCCTTTCCCTTTTCTGCCCTCCCCTCGGCCACTGGACAATGCGCACAGGAGTGATTTCGAAGTCTGGGGAGTGTGCACACCCCGGCAGGTCCGGCCAGCTGCTGCTGAGCTTATGAAGCATGCTCTCTTCCCCCGAACTCATGTGCTCTTCCCACTTGGTGACCTCAGGGTCTCTCTGGAGGGCTCCTGCTCCCACCCCTGTCTCCAACACAAGTGCTCCTCTCAGTCCATCAAGAATAGGTGTCCCTTTGGTCAGGTCCTGTGTGGATTAATTTAAAAATACATTTACCTTACCGTTTTGCAGCTTGCAATGTGGAATGGACAATGATTTGGGAAAAAGAGACATAGATTGCAGAACTCTGAGATGTCAGAAAAACTTCCCAAACACACACATTTATGCACATATGGAAAAAGTCTGAAAAAACATCTTCACTAAACAGTTAATAGTAGTTTCATTTGCAGAGTGGAACTGAGATCAGGAGACGGCAGTAAGGGAGATATTTTTCTCCACTCTATCAATATTGTTCGAATTTTAAAATAATATGCTTGCATTTTAAAATATTTGTAACTCAATAGAGAAAAGTTAAGTGCCAACGTTTAAAATAAAGCAAAGCCCTAAATCTGTCATAAGTGAAGGAGCTGGCAGTGAGCACGAGGCAGAGGTCATTCAGGGAGCTTCGTTTTTCTGCAGGAACAGCCCATGGAGCAGCTGTGAGAGCAGTTCATTCAGGCTGGAGTCTAGCACAGGGCAGAGTCCCAGCTCAGACACATGCACAGTGCGTGTGGTGGAAACTTGCTCATGCTTGACAATGGAGAGGGTGGGGTCTGAGTCCTGCATATGTCACTTCCTTGCTTGAGATTTCAGGAGATGATGAGTAACTGTAAATCAGAGCTCTTATTCACCCTTAAGGGATTATTCACAGTGAGCAGGGAAGTCTTCTTGAAGGAGACAGGACTGAGAGACCCCTGAGCAAAGCTGGGCTCTGGCCAGACTGTGAGAATGAGTTGGGTAGGGGATGTGGCAATGAGTGAGTGAGGTCATAGAGACATCTGAGTTGAGAGAGAGGTGAGGAAAGGAAGATGCATCAGGGAGTCTAAGGTAGTTTCCATTTTCTTGATCCCTTCTCTAACTCTATGGCATGGGGTAGGGGCAGGGAAACACTGCATTGTAATACCTGGAGAGCTTCCCAGAAGCTTCTTGGAAATTATTATTCTTATGTTTCAGCTGCCCCTGTTCCTCTCCCCTTGCAGCCTTTCATCTGTTAGATTGAGCTGTGTAAAGCAATAAACCAAAAGCATCCAGAGACAGGCTACAAGCCTATGTAAAAAAAAAAAAAAAGACCATCTTCAAAGCAATTCTACTGACTTCCATTTTTACTTATCATTGAGTGGTACTTACTAATGGCCTACAAAGCATTATAAACTTTGGCATTTGTAATCTAAAATCACCAGATACCTGGTGTTTTCTCAGATACCATTCAGCCTTTGGCAATGTTGCTCAGCCCTTCTATGTCCTCACATACGCAAACAGTTGCAATTTCCAGTTTTTAGGAAACTCTGTCAGTGATACGGACTTCATCAGGCTTATCCTGAGTTGGCTGTGAGTTGCCGCTCTTGCATTAAGGAACGTTGGCTTTGCTTACCAACCCTTTTGTTTTTACGTAACTGCTGCCATGTTACCATTTTGACTGCTACTTTATTCCCCTCCAAATATTTGTTATCCTCAACTTCTTTTCCCCCTATAAAGTGGGAATGGCTTTGGTAGGTTTTTTGTCCTGCTTAGGTTGACAAAAGTTAAAGAAAGAAAAAAAAAAGCTTCAGAACCACTGGTAGATAAATGTTGGTGACGGTCCCTCACAGCTTCCTGTCTGGGGTTCAGCACAAATCAGGCATGACTAGCCTTGCATCTACCACATGTTGCCACCGTCCTTTGGTCTGCTGGGTGCAAAGTCAAGAACCCTGAAAACAGGTAACACCACAATCAGTATTTAAGAGTTATTACTCAAGAGGTTGCATACATTTTAAGACTCACCAGAGACTGTTAGTGAGGATGACTGAAGGCTGTGCTTCCAGGACTGTATAAAACAAAGTGAATCGTGCAAAAAGCAGGTCTAGGAAGTCCTGATCTGTACCAAGTTGATCCCGGGTATATTTAAATGATAGTACACCATGATATACTCTCCCAAAACATTTTTTATTCTACTAGGAGTGGAATAAGAACAAATAAAATGTATGTAGTTTGACATTTCACAGAAACAAATTTTAAAAGGAGCATTCTTTGTTTCAAGAAATAATATTTCTGAGCAACATCAAGGTGGCAAAGGAAGTGGTGGGTTCTCCTCTGGAGACCTTTCAATTAAGAGACGTAGTTCTGTTGAGCCATAGGAGTCAAAAACCTGTTGACTTTTTGGATCCCTTTTCAAATAGCACACTGAAAGAAAAGAGCAAGTAGAATAAACAAAAAAATTATGCCTTGCTATAACTGAAATAATTTGAACAACAAAATTAATAATGATTGTATTGGATTGTAGCCCAAAGAACAAAGTTCACTAATAAGTTCATGCTGATACAAATAACGAATAATTTAGTAAGTGGGGAAGAGAGGATTGCTATTCCTTACAGTAGAATTTCAATTAATAAATGTAGAAGGATGCAGAGCATGGTGGCATGCACCTGAAACCCCAGTTACTCAGAGAGGCTGAGGTGGGAGGATTACTTCAGCTCAGGAATTTGAGGCAAGCCTGAACAAGACCCCATCTCAAAGAGAAAGAAGTATTAATAAATGTAGAAGGAAAGAGAGAAACAGAAAATCACCACTAGACAAACACCACTATAATAATTGTTGCAGACAAGACCCACCAATGAATGCTAAAATGAGTGGGTGCAGGCTCAAGGAGGAATAGAATTTTTACAATCTCAAAATATGTCCCCCAAGATATTTATTAACTACAAAGGGAAAAAAGAATAATGTTGAAGTAGAGAAGCCAAGCAGAAACCACCTTAACCAAATGGCTAAGGTCAACCTCACCTGTAATAAGACAGCAATATCTATATCATGAACCATGGGTATAATGTACCAAGAGGGACACAACGTTTCTGTGGTATTCTTTCCAAAAATGTGGTTCAATGACAAGAAACATAAGACAAACCCAAAGTGAGGGGCGTTTGACAAAATAACTGATCACTACTCTTCCAAAGTGCTGAAGTGTCACGAAAGACAAGATAGACGAGAAAGACTGAGGAACTGTTTCAGGCTGCAGAAGACTAACGAAAAATAACAACTAAAGGCAGTAACAACTAAATAATAACAACTAGAATGGGATCCTACATAGGACCCTGGAATAAAAAAGGACATCAATGTAAAAACTGGTGGAAGCTGCATAAGGCCTTGAGTTTAATGGTACTCTCTCAATGTTAATTTCCTCGTTCTAACGATTGTACTCTGGTTGTGAAAGATGCTAACATTAGGGGAAGCTGAGTGAAAGACAGATGGACACTCTCTGTGCTATTTTTGCGATTTTTCTGTAAGTCTAAAATTAGCGTAAAATCAAGTTTTTTAGTTTCTGGTTTTTTCTTTTTAAGACTTTTGTTTACACTCTATTACAGCCCAAGTACTTGACCCTGCTGTGAAAAGCTCTGGGATGTTACATGCAGGAACCAGAGGTGTCACTGAAAACTTTGAAGACTTTTCTGTTTGCTCCCAGATGGGATAACTCACCTCAATTCTGTAAGCTCCCATTTGTTTTCTTCCTCCCTTCCCTTCTTTCTTCCTCCCTTCCCTTCTGTCTCTTTCTTTCCTTCCTTCCCTTCCTCGCTCCCTTTTTTCCCTCCATTCCCCTTCCCTTCCTTTTCTTTCTTCCAGATGAGCACCTCACTCTATCGCCCAAGCTGGAGTGCAGTGGTACAATCATAGCTCACTGAAGCCTCAACCACCCAGGCTCAAAGATCTGCAAAACTCAGTCTCCCCAGTAGCTGGGACTATAGGTTTGGGACTAGCAAGGGGTTTAACTATCTCTTTCATGACCACCATGCCTAGCTAATTATTTTTTAACGTTTTATAGAGATGGAGTCTTGCTATGTTGTCCAGGCTGGCCTTAAACTCCGAGCCTCAAGCAATCCTTCTGCCTCAGCCTCCCAAAGCACTGGCATTATAGACATGAGCCACCATGCCAGATCCAAGATCTGAAAGAAATGAGACTTACGACAAAGAATATTAATAACATCAATCGTTACCATTACTAACGTTTGTTGTGCATTTCAAACGTGCCAGGCATGGTGCTAAGTGCTATACAGGCACCTTCTCACTTTATCCTCAGAACAAATCTATGACTCAAGAATTACGGACATAACCATTTTGAAGATAGGAAAACAAAGGCTTAGAGATAATTAAATCACTTGCTAGGCCACATAACTAGTAAATGGTAGACCCAGGATTTGAACTCAGATTTGTAGAATTCTAAAGTCCATTATTTATTTATAGCTACCATGCTCTACTTTTAATTGTAGTGTGGGGGGAGACAAGAAAAACACTAAAATGCACAACTCTAGTACTGTGTATTTTGGCTATTGCTGGCCCGTGGGATTAAACATAATTTTCTTGGCAGTCGGCTTGAGTACTCCCTTAACGAAGAGGTGTTCTCAGCTGTCCCACCCTCCCCTAGCCGTCCTCGCCCACACCATGACGAAGAACGAGAAGTCCCTCAACCAGTGCCTGGCCGAGTGGAAGCTCTTCATCTACAACCCGACCACGGGAGAGTTCCTGGGGCGCACCGCCAAGAGCTGGGGTTTGATCTTGCTCTTCTACCTAGTTTTTTATGGGTTCCTGGCCGTACTCTTCTCACTCACGATGTGGGTTATGCTTCAGACTCTCAACGATGAGGTTTCAAAATATTGTGACCAGATTCCTAGCCCAGGACTTACGGTTTTTCCAAAACCAGTGACTGCATTGCAATATACATTCAGTGTGTCTGACCCAACTTCCTATGCAGGGTACATTGCAGACCTTAAGAAGTTTCTAAAACCATATACTTTAGAAGAAAAGAAGAACCTCACAACCCATCCTGACCGAGCACTTTTTAAACAGAAGGGTCCAGTTTATGTTGCATGTCAGTTTCCTCTTTAGTTACTTCAAGCAGGCAGTGGTATAAGTGATCCTGATTTTGGCTACTCTAAAGGAAAACCTTGTATTCTTGTGAAAATTAACAGAATAATTGGATTAAAGCCTGAAGGAGTGCCAAGGATTGATTGTGTTTTCAAGAACGAAGATCAAACAAATATAACAACATCCTCATAATGGAATTATAGACTTAAAATATTTCTCATATCATGGGGAAAAACTGCATGTGTGCTGAATGATGTACAGAGTCTAGAAGAAAAAAGCCCAAGTCTTGTGCACATTTAAATCATGTACCTAGGTATTTCCGTATTTCAGTAGATAAAGCAGACATTAAATAGCATTGTTCACATAAAAAAAAAAAAAAAAAAAAAAAAAAAAAAAAAAAAGCTGAGTAATATTGCATAGAAGTACCAGAAACTGCCTCGTTGGAAACAAAAACTATTTACAATAAATAAAAAGCCTGGCCGCAGGCTGGGTCTGCCACATTTACAGCATGGTGCGATGCACACGGTGACCAAACCACGGAGGCAGCTTCTGGCACTCACACCACGAGCCGCACGTTTGCCACATGAGAGTAAAGCAGAGGGTGAGAGGAGAGAGAGGGAGGGGGGTCACATTCACTTCTGGCGTCGGAGTTGATAGGACAACCAGTCCAGTCCTTCATAGAGCCCGTCGCCGCTGATGGCGCAGGTGGCCTGAATGTACCAGTTCCTGTGGCGTAGGGAGTGCAGCCCCAGCTTGTCTGTGATCCCGGCCGCATTCATGGCGTTGGGGAGGTCCTGCTTGTTGGGGAACACCAGGAGGACAGCATCCCGGAGCTCGTCCTCAGCCAGCATCCTCATGAGCTCCTTACGCGCCTTGTTCCCGTGCTCTCTGTCATTGCGGTCCACCACGCAGATCAGGCTTTGTGTGTTCTGGAAGTAGTGGCGCCACAGAGGCCGGATCTTGTCCCGGCCGCCCACGTCCCACACAGGGAAGCTGATGTTCTTGTACTACACGGTTTCCACATTGAAGCCTATGGTGGGAGTGGTGGTCACGATCTCGCCCAGCTTTAGCTCCTACAGGACCGTGGTCTTCCCCGCAGCAGCCAGGCCCGCCATGAGGATGTGCATTTCCTTTTTGCCAAAAAGGCCCTTGAAGAGGTTGGCTAAGATGTTCCCCATGCTTGTGGGCAGGTGGAAGGACACTGACCAGGGACACCTCAGCGGCTGCTGCTCCAAGCCAGTCCTTGGTTTCCCTCCCACAAGATGGCAGCTCTGACGGAGGCCAATTAGTGAGCTTTTATCTTGGCCCTTAATCCTATGGTTCTCCATGTCGGCTACCCTGGGAAACATTAAGGAAATTACCGATGTTTAACGCCCACTCTTAAAGAGAAGATTCTGATTTAATTGTTCTGAGGTGAAGCTTGAACACTGGTATTTTTTAAAAAGCTCTCTGGATGTCTCTAATAGGCAGCTAAGTTTGAAAACCTCTGTAGCCTAATTGCTGCTGTTAGCTAATTTCTTAGTCTATCCTCAGGGAAGATACACTACAGCTGCTGGTATATCTGAAACTCCTTTTCAAAGCCACCCTCAGCTTTCTCTTCTCCAAGATAAATAATCTGAAACCCTTTTTATCTTTCCTGAGAGTTCTTCCTTCTCACTCCCACTCACTGTTTTCACTGCTCTCCTCTGGAAGCTCTCCAGGTTCTGAACATCCCTGTCAAGTTCTGGTGACCAAAGCTCCCTCATGGCCCGTCTGTGCTGCCTGCCTGCTGGCTGCTAGTGCTGCTTGCCTACACAGCTCTGCAGTGTCAACTGAACCCTTGGTTTCCACCAACGGAGAAACTCAGCAACGGAGAGAGCTCTATCTGCATGTCAGACCAAGAGGCAGAAGCCTAAAGAAGGTCCTGCAGCCTGACTGTTGGACAGGGTGGCCTTCCATAGAGTTCTGCTAGGTGGACAGTGGAGAAGGAAATCTGAAGAAAGGGCATAAATGGAGAATGAGTTGAGAGCAAACCGTGATGAAAAAAATGTATAACCTGGGAAGCAGAACTCCAACATTCTAGTCCAGGTTATGACCCGAAACAGCCACATAATCTTGGGTTATCCATTTTGCCTTTCTAGGACTCGTTTTTATGCATAAAACAAGACAGTAAGACTGGGTCATCCCTGGGTTTCACTTCAGTTCTGAGTCTTCTGCAGCTGATCTCAGGCTTGGAAAGAAAGAGATTGCTGGTCTGATCATCCCCCTTCTAACTGCTCTGGCCTCAGTTCTTTCCCCCAGCAACTCTAGTTATTCCAAGAGTTCCGCCAGCCAATGATTATAGCCCAGACCTACCACCACTAGTCTGTAAGCTTCCTGAAGACGGTACAGGGCCATCTACCATCTCCTGAATACAGACAAAAGCCTAGGAGCACTCAGCTCACACAGCAGACACTTGAAACATTTCCTAAATCTCCAGGAATCAGAGCTCCAAACAATAATGACAGAATAATAGATACTCACTTTTCATCAACAATCATACCTACCAAAACTTAGCACCCCATAAAGTCATCCGTAATAGCAGTCATGGCACGTACAAGGCACCTTCACATACATTCTCTCATTTAGTCTTTACTGACAAGCCAGAAAGACTGGCATTATCCCTATTTTATAGGTAAGAAATTGAGCTTCACAGCAAAGAAAGCTAAATTGCCCAAGATGTCAAAGCTATGAAGTGACACAGTCAGGATTTGGATGTCTGTCTGCCCCGGATGCTTCTGCTCCACTCAAGCAGATTTACCTTGCAGATAATACAAGCTTCAAGGCCCCTCCCTTGCATGGGTGCCTTCTAGTCCCTTGTACCTAGTTTTGAGTTCTTAATTTTTGTGCCATTTTCCATAAAGAGGACCCTCCGCAAATTGTCTAAGCTTCAAGACCTAAAAAATCTAGATCCGCCCCCGAAATGAGCTTTTCATGTTAACAGAACCACCACTTTCTTGTTGAGTAATTTCAGTCTGAGGATATTTTTCAAACATGAATTCAAGAGGAATCCTTGCCAGTTTCTGCTCTGGGAACCTATGCTGCTTCTTTAAAGAAACTCTAGAGTATGGCTTTGCCTTGAGCCATGTGGACGTGGGTCACTCACTATTCTGTCTTCCCACTTACTCTGTGCCCAGGGTACTCTTCTCCTCACCAGTCTGTGGATTTTCACTCTCCCTCACAACAGGCCTTCCTGAGTCTCGCTTTAGCCTTGTAGCATGCCTTTCCATGCTGGTTGTCATAGGTCACTTTATTCTGTACTCTGTGGTAATGACTCTGTTCTACCCCTCCTGCTGCTTCTTTTGGTTTGCACTTTGGACTGGAGCCTGTTGCTGCTTTGGGATTGAGCCTCAGCTGCTTTCTGTAGCCAAACAAGCAGTGCTGTTGTTCACTTGGAGAGGAGTGACTTGAAAAGTTGGGAAAAAGGGGGATTGCTGTATATTTCAATTTCTGTTAGGTAGGCTTGAATATCAGAATTCAACTTCTTCTATAACCTCTCGTATTTACCCATCAAAATATTCTAACACTATTTTTTGTCCACTATTCCTTCCCTATATCTTGACCTTAGTTATCAGATCTCTCTTCTTTAGATTTTATATGTACAAAATTTCCCTCTTTTGTCCCCTCTCTGCAAATCAGAGAGGGTGCAGATACAACTTTGGAAAAACACAGTTTAGCGAAGAAATAGCTTGGGAGCTGGGGCTTTCAGGTGAGCTCAGCACACCATTTCTTTTTCTCTCTGGTCTGTCCACTTGCCATCTCCTATAGCTTTAATACCTCCCACATAGCTACAACCATCTGACAAATGAGAAAAATCTTTGCTCAGTACACAAATTATTTATCGTATAATGGTAACTTAATTTGTAATATTAGAAAAACCAGGATAGAACTAGGCAATTTATACATAATATTTCCAAAATACATTTTCCATCAAGGCATTAGCCATCTTTTAGAAATGTTTTCTGTTTGTTTTTGAGATGGAGTCTCGCTCTGTCGCCCAGGCTGGAGTGCAGTGGCACAATCTTGGCTCACTGCAACCTCTGCCTCCCAGGTTCAAGCAATTCTCCTGCCTCAGCCTCCCAAGTAGTTTGGATTACAGGCACCTGCCACTATGCCAGGCTATTTTCTGTACTTTTAGTAGAGACGGGGTTTCAACCTGTTGACCAGGCTTGTCTTGAACCCCTGACCTCAGGTAATCCGCCTGCCTCAGCCTCCCAAAGTGCTTGGATTATATGCATGAGCCACCGTGCCCAGACTCTTTTTTAGAAATGTTTAGATATGGCCAGGTGCAGTGGCTCATGCCTGTAATCCTAACACATTGGGAGGCCGAGGCGGGTGGATCACCTGAAGTCAGGAGTTTGAGACCAGCCTGGCCAACATGGCGAAACCCGATCTCTACCAAAAATACAAAAATTAGCCAGGCATGGTGGCAGGAGCCTGTAATCCTAGCTACTCAGGAGGCTGAGACAGGAGAATTGCTTGAACCCAGGTTGCAGTGACCTGAGATCGCGCCATTGCACTCCAGCCTGGGTGAAAGAGTGAAACTCTGTCTCAAAAAAAAAAAAAAAAAAAGAAAGAAAGAAATGTTTAGATACTATCCTAGTGGTAACAGAAGCATAGAAAAGTTGACAATAGGATACCTGAGAATCTCGGAGCCATGTAATTCTAAGACATGTCTTAGGATGCATATGTATTAATCCACAGAACCTACAGCAGTTAGAATGTTAAATATTTTCCAGACAAGAACTGCAAAACACACAAAGCCAGCACACACCCATGCCCCTGCTGAGTTGTAAATGAGTCTGAGGAGTCACCTGTCAGTAGCAGCATGGCAATCCCATTAGCTAGGAAAGAAATCACTGTTTACTACTGACAAACTTGTGATGAGATACTTTAAAACTCTGAATTCTGCTTTCAGTTTCTTCTCTTGCCTCGTACGTTTTCATACTACACATGCTACCAATTTACAAAACCCCCAATGTATCCATACCTAGGAACAAAATAAAAATTCTTGTGATGCACAGGCAAGGACAATTTTCAGTGATGAGGAAATCCTTACATTTCCATTTCTGAAGAGAAATTACACGAATTTTTGCTGACAGCTTCTGAAAGCACAGACTGGAGAAGAGAAAAAAAATGTATGGAGAGGAAACTAAATATACTTAACCATACATACTGTGAATACTCTAAATTTTGAAATTCAAGATCTGATTCCTTCAGACAGAATTTTTG